TCAGGACACAGCGTCTGATCTGATAATGATGAATGTAATTTGGCGCAGCATTGTGCATCACATGGCAAGGGAGTGAGTAGGCAAGAGCTTTACTTTCGGGGCCACCGGCAGCGCGTGCTGCTACGCGACTAGTCATGCAGGGCAGCTGGTCATTTGGATACACGTTGCGAATGGGGATCCATGGCGAAATCCCGCCCAAGAATGAAACATGCACCGCCTGTTCTCATCATTGCAAATGACACATAAATTGAGTACCAGATGCGGTTCGTGGTCATTCTTGCAACGGACACCGCCACAAATGTGTTTCTCTCTGCGCTGCAAGCTTGCGCATCATGGAACTTTTGCTCCCTTGCTCTAAGGGCCTGTTTCAGTTACTTAGCAGTCTGGCGAAGCAAGAACAGGTGAAATGCGCGAAACGACGGGGGTGGGCTGTGTGAGCCATCACCGCTCTGCCACCCAGCGAACACGACTGCTTTTCTGTGGTCTCTGTGAACGACATCACAATATCGCAATTCGCAATCCCAACTTACAGTGCATTGCTTCTATTCTAACAGATAACTGCAAGCCCTCATCTTGCTTCCTGTCCGTACGAATTCGTCTTCGACAACTGATGATTGTGTAATATTGAGATGCCTCAAAACTAATTCAAATTCTCCGAGTGAATGCGTCGCTGGGTCACAGGCATACCAGCTAGGTAGACCGCAATCGCCATGGGATCAAGTCGCTGGTGTCTACAGATGCGGCCGAGTTGCGACCTATCGGAATTTCGGATTGTCTACCTCAGAACGTAGACATGTCCTGATGTCGATGAACAAACAACCTTGAACCGCGTTGATATGCCATATATGTCAAACAGCACACACTTCTGACCATATGTTGATATCATACCCTCACTTAGAAAGCGATTCATATCATCTTGAAACTGGCGATTTCCAACGTTTTCTAAAGCTCTGGGGCTTGCTACTTGCAAGGTTTCCTCGCTGGGCGGCTCCCGCATTTGTTTCGCATGCTCCCCAATATTCTCACAGCTGGGCCTGGATAAGTTGGTTCCGAGAATGTTAGTACCCCCCTCAACATTCGTGTCGCTGGTTGTTAGGTTCGGGGCATGCTGGCGTACGAGAAGGCTCTCAAGCTGATCTGCCTGCTGGAGCACCCCCGCGCCGATGGCCTTGGCGAAGAGACGTATGAAGAAATGATTGAGGAACTGGTGGCCGCAAAATTCCGTTGCGTGGTGGCCGCTCAGTCATACGGGCGGAACAGAAAAAGCTCCGTTTTGAAGCAGCGGTGGGATGCGAGGAGTGTGGAGCTCCTGTGCTGCAAATCGACAATCTCCGTCAAATCAGCGCAATCGTTCAGTTAAACAGGAACAAGACTCTAAGAGTTTCGTATATCGATACGGACCGCCATATGAATGGATACACACAGTACGCCGTGTTGATTCGGGGTGCAGCCATTGAGTATGCCGACCGGCCCGATCGTCCAAACCCATCAGAAGACAAATACCGCGTGGAGGAAGTCTACCGAGTGAGATTTCCACAGAATGTTTTCACTGGGCGCGGCATTATCATTGGGGAAGGAAAACCGGAGAATCAGAACCACGGTGAGCAACAGAAGCACCGCAAGGACAATGTGCCGACATTGACTAGCAACGAGATTCATAAATCAGCACCTCGGCCATGCAAACACGTCCGAATCGGAAAACCCTGTGTCTGTCATCGTGCTGCAGTCCATGTAGATTTCCGCAGTTGCAACATCAGAACAGCAAGGGCGCTTCTCCCATGCAAAACTGTTGACAGGTGCTAGATTGTTCGCTGTTTTCCGTCTTGGCGGGTTGTGAAAGCGATTCATCGGGAATAATTGACAATCACCGTCCAGAGAGTGATCGCGAAACACCGAACCAGTATTTGTCGGATTTTGCCGGTTCCGCCCTCTCCTCGTAGTGGAAAGAGCGCTATTTTATTACGTGGGCTGCGATAGATGTCGTCCGCGAAGGTAGTGACCCATGCAGTTTTGCTCAGCTGCCACCCCGGTCAGCCGTCAGCCGCGTGGCGATTGCGTGCAACACGTGAGTGAAGCACATACTGGCTTTGCTGGGCACTGAGTCATCTACCAGGCCCACTGATACCTATCGAAGCTGTTTGGCCGCTGCAACAACCATTTTTCTGTTCCGGCAGCGATCATCTTTGCATTTGGCGAGTGCCTGCAGACCATAGACATGAATCAGGACAACTTTTTGCTGGAGGCGCTCAAGATGAGAAACCTTCTGAGAGAATTGACCCTGACGGAACCGCGCCCCAGGAAGGATCCAAAGACTTGCAGGGAGTATCAAGTGTTTTTGAGAAAGCGGCTGGAGAGAAAATTGGTGAAGAAGCCAATATTGATCGGTTTCAGGGAATGGATTTTCTCAGACAAAGCAGGTATGTTCGTTGGACGACGCCCCCCATTTTTCACTCCAAATGTTTATGGCACCCGGAACCTTTTGGCCCGAACGATAGCATTTTTGTGCTGCGAGTATTCAGATCGAACTAACAACACTATCGGCAATGTGTTTCTCCATGCTCGCTTTCTGTCCACCATGCAGGTGAGTTGACTCTGATCCAGACTGATCGTGCGTGATCCAAGCTCATAGCCTTTATCTGTAACAAAGATTGCCATTCCGTACAGACACACAGTGCGAAGTTATCATTTGCTGGTATTGATGCACCCACCACGGGGTATGTTGCTCTACAGCTATATTTTTGCATGCCACATTTGGTAATGTCCAGATATAATGTGCCGATTGGAGGTGTTAACGGGACAAATACTATGTTTCTTGTAGTTCAGTGCGCAATTGTCAAGCAATAGAACAAAACAACCGCCATTTGAAGGGAAGCATTGCTGTTTTACATGAAGACAAAATGAGTCGGTTCATATTGCGAGGCTCACGCGATGGGCAGGTCACAAATCGCCAGAAGAGGATTGTGACTTGTTTGTTCTGGTCCTGCACAGCTGACGCGCGTGCACAAGTGACAGTATTTGCGATGATGGGCAGGTGCTCTCGGAAGCTTTGCCGCAGGAACTGAGTTTGCCTTCGGCACAATATTGCAGCGAACAATGACATTTCCCGGCACTGCTCGATTCCACTATGGCCACCCGGACGTATGGGACAAAATCTGGGCGATGACCAGAGGCGGCATCAGCAAAGCGTCTAGGAATCTTCATGTTTCTGAGGATGTGTTTGGGGGATTCAATGCTGGGTTGCGAGGAGGCAAGATTTCTTACAGGGATTACCTGTCCGTTGGTAGGCGACATTCGTTCGACCTTGCAAGCTGGAAACAGCAGCGTTCATTGGATATTTTCCATGTTTGTTTGTGAAAGTTGGAATGATGTGTGTTGATCCTCGAGCATGCCTTGTCCGTCGAACAGCCCTTGCCTTCACAACGCGAACGCTGAAACAGGTGGCAAGCTGTGCGAATTCCTGCAGGAGGCCATGTGCCCAAGCTGCTGCGCTTTGTGTGTATTTGGAGGAAGCGCTTGCCGAGCAAACTGCGAAAATATGTTGCTACTCTAGAATTATGTTGCTTTTGTTACTTACGTTAATTGTGTTGGGTATGTTGCTTTTACTATGCACTAGCCATGTTGTTAGCCATGTTACTGCATCATGTTCCAAATCTGGCCCTTTTGTAGTTTTGAATGTCGGCCGTGTGAAGCAAAGAAAAAAGTTGCATGGAATGGCAAAGTCATGATGATGTAGGGGAGCATCTTTGTGAAGGCAAAGAGTGAAGCCGTTGCTTAAATGACCACGAATGCATAGAGATGCGTGTACAAGGACTCGCTGGATAAAATGTCCTGTGGTGGAATGCATTCGTCCTGTTTGTGCAGTATTTGGTGCATTTTGTGCAGGAAAGGGACGAGATATGGCTTTTGTGCACATAAACGGTTTCGAGATCAAGATCTCAGGCGGCAATGGTGAGGTGTGCATTTCCAGAGAGCTGTATCGCCTGGGCACCAGGACGGATTTTTTCAGGATGCTGTCCATCTACTACACCGGCCCCGGATTCTTTGTCAACAATGCCATCCTCATGGCCACGGTGTACCTGCAAATTTGGGTCCTGGCTGTGTTAGCTCTGGCGGGTGCCTACCTGGTGGAGACGGAGAGGCGAGGAAGCGCCGTCGAGGTGGCGAACGTAAATGGCGCCACCGGCGAAAAGCATGATTACCAAAGTCTCGCTCCGGCGCGAGGCAACTTTTCCTGTTCCTGTCGCTGCCAATGGCACCAATGACGGGGGTGTCGTGTTCCAGATAGATCGCGACGTGGACACAGCGGTCGAGATTACCTCCATTGTGCAGCTTGGAATGCTGACGATCATCGCCTACATTGCGGAGCTGCTCCTGGAGCTTGGCCTGATACAGACGATGGCAATCATATTCCTGCAGGCGAGTGCGTCACATATCGTCAAGGATGCGCCGCGTCTTGGAAGATTAGTCATCAAGATGTCGGGTTCATTGTCTGATCATGCATGCTTCGGTCAGTGAGCAATGCTCTCCGAGGCTGCACTTGAATTATTTTTGCACACGTACTGGGCCACAGCGTTGTAATATTTCAGCCACAGCTAGTCCCGCTGTAAGGTTTTACGGAACAAGGTCCTGAATAGACGCGTTGAATTGCGCGTACAGGACTATCGCTGAGTTGACGTATCCTCAATGTAGTTACCTGTCTCATGAGGCGCGCGAGCAAGCTTGCTCCTTAAGGAGGCACATTGGCAGGCACGCGCGGTCCTCTATGAGAATCGCTGATACGACCGTGACCGCGCAGTCTATCGAGGCTGCGTGTTGCCCCTCAATCTAATTTCTGAACTGCCCAACACACAGCAAAACAATTCGACGCTGAGTGCACGTGTTTGCGCCCTTTGTCGCACACATCACTGATATGATGTCAAGCCCACTGGCGAGTTCTTGCTGTGCCGTCTGCCGTTGCGCCAACAGGGCATTTCTTGAGGTAACGATTTCCCGATCCGCAGGTGATATCCGGATCTCTGGCGTTCTTCATCTTCAAGCAGCAAACGAATGCGTCCGCCTTTGTTGAGGACATGACCTATGGCGGAGGTCGCTACGTGGGCACGGGAAGAGCCTTTGCCCTCATGCACAACCCCTTTGTCTCGCTGTACGTCCGCTATGCTCGGACACACCTGTACTTCGCGGGCACGCTGATCCTCCTCTGCGTCATGCTTGCCATGCTGGGCATTCCAGGGTACGGCCCTGCGACCTTCGGCACATGGATGGTGGCGGTTTCCTTGACCACGGCGCCCTTCTGGTTCAACCCCATGCAATTCAACATGGACGTCACCAAGACGGATTACAAGATGTGGACGCGGTGGATGAAGGGGGAGGAAGTTGACCCGGACAGCAAGCTCACGTGGCACACGTGGCACGAAAAAATGATGGGCAACATCAGGAATGCCAGCGGCAACCTCACAGACCATTGGCTGAATGGCGCCAGCGCCATCATGTACAACCTCTTCACCAATGGCATCCTGGCCATCGCGGCCGTGTCCAATCTGAAGATAGACGAGCAAGTGGACTGGACGCCCATAGACGAGATGGACGGCGAGGACATCCGGAAAATATTTCTCTGGCTTGCGGTCACGCTCACCATTTCCTTCGTGGGCGTTCTGTGCGTCATTCTGCAGACGTGCTTCAGTGACAGGGGCCAAACCAGGGCGCTGAGGATATTCAAAATCTTCCCGTTCCTCTTCTTCATCGTCGCCTCCCTCAGCCTCATCCAGGCGCCGGACTTCCTTCGCACGAGCGACGGGAAGAACGGCTTCAGAAACCTTCTGCTCATCTACTATGCCGACCTGCAGATCGCTATCATCGTCCTCGAGGTGCTGCAGCGCACCAACCCGGATCGGGCCGGGATTCGACATCTGGTGGACCAGGCCTATTACTTGCTGGATTACAGCATAGGGCTGATACTCTTCGGCTTTCTTTTCCTGTTTTCCCTGCTTGGAGTTTTCCAAGTTTTCCAGAACACTCTGCTGTTCAATGTCACGTTTGCGCGATCCATGAACACCAAGGAGCTGGCGGACGCCATTGGCGTGGATCGAGATCTTGACAGACAGGAGGACGCAGGCGGCAGAGCCGGGGAGTCAATGACCCTGAGGGAGAGGCTGACAAGGCTCATGTCTCGCGGCTTTGACGCCACTTACATCCCGGGGGGGACACCCCACGCCGATGTCCAGAAAGAGGGCAACTTCACAACCACGAGGACGCTGAGCAATGCCTCCCGAAAGTTTGGAACCGAGGGGAAGATGGCATTAGGGTCGGGAACCCTTCACTCGGTGGGATTCGCCACGGACGACGCTGAAGCCGAACACGGATCGGACATCATCTCCTTGAGGCCCATTCCGCAGTCGGCCATCGGCGCCCAACAAGAAGATCAGTCCGAAGTTGGAGAGGTAGATAGAGACGCAGGGCGATCACATAGGCAATGACGGCGCCGTCCACATTCACAGGGATTTCGTGCAGAATTTGGAGGCGACATGGACATGCCGTGGACGTTCGGGAATGTGTGGAGGCTATCGGGAGGGAAGGCGTTGGCCTGAAACGTGGGAAAGGTCAATACTAGGTAACCCAGGGATTTTGACCTGCAAGGACACTTGGATTGGAATGTCAAACCTGCGGATTTGGAGTGTAGCGTGGGGAACAAGATGCGTTGTGTTACGGCAGAGACTTGCCCGGGGTGATTGTCCCAGTCGTGACATCTCCCGTATGCACGTACCGCAATTGGTATGTGCAAGTGCCAAAATGGATCACCCAATATCGGCGTTATGTGCCAATGCGGATTCCCGAACGGTGCCAAATGACAAGTGCGCCAAATTTCGGTGTGTGCATTGTCACGGCATAAATAGCAACAACATAGTGTGGTCAACCATGTTATGGTGCTGCTATTGCTCAAAATGCACAAAGCACGCCCTAAAGGATCGCGTGCTGCAAGTGCTAATCTGCAGCCTGTCATCAATCTCTTCAAAGGTTGGCTGACATTCGGGGTACACTGCTTGGCCAAGTTTCGCGTAGCACAAGAGCAGTTCACATGCCCACATTCTGATTGTTGTTGGGGAAGTGTCGGGGTGGGTGAATGGTAAGGGGGGGTGGGGGGGAACATGTGGTGCATCAATGTACGGGCGACCCAACACGGCATGAACCTCCCATGGTCCACCCAACGCACAGGCGGCGGTCCCAACGCCGCTTGGCTGTCTCGAGTGCGCCCAGTACGGCGCCCGGGCGGGCACGCGCCCACGGCCGGGGCCAGATGCCGGGCGCAATTGGGCACGTCGCCGCGAGTGGGCGCATCGCCGTGGCAGCCGTGGGAGTGCTCCCAGGATGAGACCTCTGTGCGCCCGGCCGGGGAGTCGGAAGAGTCGGGCTTGCATGCGCGCCTGCGATTCGAGGCAATCAGCGACGAGGCGGCCTGCGAGCGGTCGCGGGCTTTCCTCGACCTGATGAGCACAAGGCGCAGCGTCAGGTTTTTTGACGCGCGCCCTGTGCCCACCCAGCTGCTTCGGGACGCCATCATGGCTGCCGGTGAGCAGGAAAGCAAATCTGGAAAAAAGGCGAGGCGAGGGACGGGTTGACCTGTTGTTCTGCACGTGCGCTTGCCCACGCTGCCCACGCTGAACGCATTTAATCACATCAAGGGGTCTGTCATTCTTGTAGCGTGGCAACGTGTGCTTCCCAACGAATCGACAAACGCCCCCATGAGTTTCAAGAAGACATCTCTTAGCTAGTCGCTTGCTGCGTGAAGGATTCTGAATTAGTAATCTCTTTCCGCAGGGACAGCGCCGTCAGGTGCCCATCTTCAGCCATGGACTTTCGTTGTTGTGAGGAATCCCGATGCAAAGACTAAACTGAGGGAACATGTCGAGGCTGCGGAGGCCGAAAACTATGAGAGCAGAATGTCGAAAAAATGGGTGAAAGACGTGTCGCCAATTGTGGGATCAATTCACAAATCTGGGGTGCAAAAGCCATACCTCACAGAGGCACCTGCAATCATCGTTGTGATGGAGCACAAGTGGCAGGTTGACGACAATGGCAACAAGCAGAGCACATACTACAGTGTGGAGTCTTGTGGAATAGCTGCAGGGATGCTGATTGCTGCCCTGCACAATGCCAACTTGACAACTGTCACAACGACACCACTGGGTGCTGGGGAGAGCATCAGGCTACTCCTTCAGAGACCAGAGAATGAGAGAGTTCTATTTCTAATGCCTGTTGGGTACCCCTCTGAGGATTGCACGGTGCCATACCGGCCACCAGGGAAAGAAAGAAAGCAGCTGTCTGACATAATGGTGGAGTTCTAGGAGGGTGTCATTGCTGGGCATTTGAAACTGACAGATGTAGCCCGGGTTAGTCACAGCTTGGAACTTAGAGCAGTTGGGGACTGAAAGGAGGGCTGTGTTGGCACGTTAATTGTGGTGCGTCCAAATCGCAGGATGGGTTTGGCGTGGAAAGACACCTCACGTTGCCAGCTGCCTTCTTGCAGTGTCCCTTTACACAGACTCAAGTGCTGCCGCTTATGTCCAAGCCGAGAACCAGAAACCCAAGCGCCAGTGCAGTCAATATGGGCAGCGCCTACCACATGTGTTGTCCAAGAGATCCAGGTGTTGGCTTGCACGGTTTAAATTTGTGCAACATCAGTACCCAAGCGCATGCACAGGACATTGTCTTCGTGCACTAGCCAACAGTCACACCTTCAGTCTATTAGTCACCAGTTTGGAACATTCAGCATCAAACTGTCGATGGAGGGATTTAGACACAGCCGAAGCATCTGGAGACGGTGCAATGGCATTTTAGCCGGACTGTTCTTCCCTTGGCGACGCCGTGATGGTGCTGGCTGGCTAACTAAAATTTGCAAAGGGTGAGCTAAACGCGGCCATTGAGCTCTTCAAATGTTCATTGATAGCTGCTGGTACTGTTATGGAAGGAAAGCCGCGCATACCAAGAATGAGGGCCATGGTACCTATGGGTGGGCACGGGCTAGGGGTTCGTCATTCAGGAGGTCATTTGTTACTGTGTCGAGATGCCTGGTGCGGAGTGGACGTGCAGGTAGCTATGAGCTCTGGGTATGTTGATGCGAGGCGGAAATGCTGTGGGGCTTTGGCAAGAGCCGGAGGACACATGCTAGAAGGCCTTTCCCTTTTCTGTTGCCTCCTGACGCAGCAATTCGCTGCCATTCAGCCCCTTTCCTTCTGCATTTGTTTGGCCGGAAATAAACTTCGCAAGTCAGCCGGCGGCCCTGAGGAAATGAAGCTTGATGGATGCCCCCGTGACTTTGCAGAACATAGCACTGCCCTGGGTAGCTCGCCTGTAGGGACGCGCAACAGCCGTTCGCCGCACTGAAGGTGTTTGGATAAGGTTGGCTTTGGGATACAAAGGCGATTGCCCGCTTGGTTTCCAGCACTTTAGTCAATGGATGGGACGTTCTGGGACTGTCCGGCAGGCTCTGATCATATCTGTGTCAAAACAAACCATTGCCACCTGCACCGGTGGTTGTTTTTCTTATTTGTAGAACTATTCTTGGACCCACCACCGGAATCCAAAAGGCTACCGTAGATCATGGAGGATAGCGCAGGGGTTTGCTGTGAACCGCGGCACCAGTCCCAGACGTCCCGCCTGAATAGCGTGGGGGTATGCAGCTCCCATGTTGGAACACCCTCGTTACTACCAAAAGAGGCAGCGACGCAATGAAGAAGTTGCAGAAATTTTGTTGTGTCACCCTCCCACTGTGATATCAACGGGTTAAAACTTGTCTGGTAGTCAATGTGGCAACGTGGTGCCGTTACTGATTTATCGACTTGATGCAGAACGTGGGGGGCATGTAAGATAGCGCGGGGGCACGAAAGATAGAGCCCCTGCGTTCTTGACGCGACCCCTGAGGCGGGGTGGTGGTGGTGGGGTGGGTGGGCGGGCTATCCTCCGTGATCTACGCTACTTGTGATAAGGGTCTTGCTCTGTGCTGCAGAAAGCTGTCGCCCCCCAGGTTCGGTGACACCGGGTGTTGCTGCTCTCTTGTGCAACGGAAGAACAGCGACACATGTACAGCTGTCAACCATTCCCTCTCAAATGAACCTTTTCCTACACCTGGGAGCACCAGCCATCGGCCATGGCCCTAATAGGCGCTCCAACGCGCTGAGACGTTGGCCCATTTGGCACCTCGTTGCGACGCAAAATATCAATCCATCACAACAGCATCATCCGCAGTCGCCGATCGGCACACCGGTACTATCGTCGTTGTATTGTGCAGACGCCTCACAGGCCCCATCACGAATCTGCTTCACAGTTCATGCGTTAGGTTTCGTATGTTCGAGTGTTTTTGGGACTCACACCACCTCGCGTCATTGCAATGTGGCAAAGTACCCAATTATCTTATGAAAGAACCGATGCTGTGACTAGACACCAGTATGCCATGTACATTTGCAATGGGCAAAAGTACCTCTGCATGCAATTCTCCAGGGATCATGCCATGAACAGGGAGCCCTGGCTTTCCAGCATCTGGGATCAGTTCTCGAACCATGCAAATGATCTGTTACGACCCTTGTGGACGAGGACCCTTTGGGGCGTGCAGGCCGCCTGCAAAGAGCTATGGGCGTTGAAGTACATCCCAAACACCAAACAGAGCAAACGCTGGGAAGGGTAAACGACGCAAAAACGGCAACCAGCACGCTTGGGCTATCACCGTCCATGCAAAAAGCTGCCGTCGGCCGTTGGCAATGGCTTGCTGTCAGCCCGAGTTCGGACCTTTTTAGCAATTGCGTGAGCCAAAAAGAAACAAGTCAACAGTCACGAGGCCCATGCAATTGAAATGAAGAAAACCAACGCTGTTCCAAAATAATGAATCACACATCATTTAGCCCCCTAGAAGCAAGCTACCAATCGAGTTGCATGCCAGCACCGTGCAAAGTACAGTGAACCGAGTGCGAATTGGCTCAAGAGGCAACACACACCGGCAGTGAGGAGTCTCTGGTACGCCGTCAATGCAACAGGTGCCCGGCGGGACACCTCAACGAGCGTAGCCCAGAGTGGGCGATCCAGCACAACACGTGGGCGGCCTGCCCATCCCACCCCCAGAGGACAAATTGCATGCCCATCAATGCATGCAGCCTTTATTTGTTTTCACTGGCCGCCCATCCCGCACGTCAATTCCTTCAGACGGCTGCCACGCACACCTTGAGGTCCTTCCCCAGCTGCACGCCCATCTCTGGATACCCACTGTACAGCTGCAGCCCCAGGGTGCAGATCCTGCTTCCCACACTGAAGGTCTCTCCATGCTTGACGCACAGCTCTTATGCACAGCTCTTATGTCTGCTCTCCACTCCATGCCATTTCCGTCACTATGCAAACGCAAGCCCCTATCCCGAATCCCTGGACGTGAGCAAGATGTTCCATGGTACACCAAAACCTGACACACGCAAAACACAGCACTTTGGCCTCACAGGCGATGTACACAGATAACACTCTTCCTTCATACAGGCAACGTCACAGGCAGCCCACATGCAACAGCGGTGTTTATCCTTCACTCTGAAATCTTCGCATTTGAGAACATGGAATAGGGATCGGGCCATTAGCCCTGCTGGCTGTCCACGCCTTTGATTGTTACTCACAATGGCAAGCGAACACTGGGCCTGGACAAAGTTGCTGTGCTGGGCGACTGGTGCTGCACAATCTGGTGAAGATTAGGATACTCAAAGCTGAAGTCGAAGCTGAACAGGAGATGAAGGCTAATTGTGCTGGCATGGCATTGTTGATGAGGGTTGTTGAAGAAATGCAAGAGTGAATTGCTGATACCAGTGCTGCAGGTAATGCAAGAGTTACGGCAACACCTCCAAACTGTGGTGGCACCAATTTAAGCAATCGCTTTGCAAAACATGCAGTGCCGCCAGGCACAATCTGGGCAGCTTTCATGGACAATTCTAGCCGGCGTTCAGTCAAATGCTAACTTGTCCACCCAACAACTGATGTCATCCAGCATGCCACGGCTCCTCGCAGCTCGGCATCCCATTTGTAGACGACCAACTCAACACGCACCTCAGAAATTGTCCGATATGGATGCTGCCAGCACATCAGTGCCATCCCTTAGGGACACCTCTTGCTCATCTTCAGCTGCTAATATGTCGTACTCCTGCTGTGCGAATCGGTCCCAATCCGACTGCTTGTTCTCTTGCTCTGCACGGATCATGAATGGATCTCGATGCTCGAATGCAAGAAACTTGTGCAAATTGAACAGAATGTTGAAGAGCACTCCTGCACTCTCTCGTCGCATTTGCAAGTCTTTGAGAGTAAACCAGCCCTCGTGTTGGGGCTGGATGAGGTCATGCAGCTGGCACATAACATCCTCAAACATGACAGGCTCGCATGCAGAGTTCTCCATGCGTTGCAGCTGTTCTTCGTAGAATGGCCGCAAATCGTATGGGCCCAAGACGCCATCACAGTCCAAGTCAATGCATCTGCATCAACAAACCGATGTGGGTGGTCAGGGAACAATATAGATGGCAAAAAGTACTATCAGGCTACTTCCTCACCACAGCGTGCCCAACCAGCCTGCTGTTCACAAAATATTCAATAGCTCACACAGGATGCCAGGGTCACATTGAACTACATGGTCAATGTGACATTGTCTTGCAAGTCGAGATAGACACCGCATGGTAGCCAACCAAAACGCAACAAGATGTAGCACATATTGCAGATGTCAAACAGGATGCACGGACAGGTGAATGAAAGTGTGAAGCTCAAAAGCAGGTCCACAGACAGTGTGCATCAAGGCACAAAGGGCCCTCCTTTGTAGAGCCAACATTCGTCCCAAATCTGTACATGTGCAAGAGCTGATGCAAATATGGACATGCTCTTTATGCGTTAAGCTTATCTCCACAAGATCGCCCACAAGACAACCTGACAGAGTGTGGATGATTGGCCGGGCCATCCCTCGCAAGCCCAACAACATTCAACTGCCAAACTGAGGAACCGCCATGAGTGCCAGTATTGTGGAATGGCGCGACTCACTTGAACCAGTACTCCAGGCTGGGCTGCGTGGTCTTGTCCTCTTCCGACAAAAGAAACCACACAAAGTCCTGGTAGCTCATCTTGCCCGGCACCCTGCTGAAGAACCTGTATGGTGCTTGGTCAAAGATGCGGTCCACGATCTGGTACGTCAGGCTGTGGCAGCCATACCGAACCAGGTCCTCCCTGTCAAGCAGGAAGTCATGGTCTGTGTCCAGCTCCCAGAACTTGCAGTAGATGACGTAGAAGTGCTCATACGAGAAGTACCGGGTGACCCTGTTAATGTCGGGTTCGCTGTCCAGCTGCTCCAGGACATCGAGGAAGTCACTACGCTTCAGCTCCCTCCGAGACAACTTGCCAGTGCCTGATCGGTTCAGGTTGTAAAATATGCGGTAGATGACCGTCTCCATGTACCTGTCTTGAAACTCGGGGTGGTCAGACAGGAACTCCAGACTTGGATGGTGGTCCACAACGGCCCTCAGCAGCGGCTCAAAGTTCGCATGCACCAGGTAGTCACTGCCTTTGGTGCACAGGATCTCGTACAGCCGCGACACAGGGTCTTTGGAGGCGATGTAGTTGGACCCCCACCACTCATCGAACTCGTCTCTTTTGACCAGGGCCGTGTTGGCAGCCACCCCCGCCTTGAGCTTGGCAAACAGCTGGTAGGCCATGAAGCCCGGCAGCTCCACCACTTCCTTCACCACCTTCACAAACTCCTTTGCAGGCAGGCCATCCGGGGCGCCGCTGAACAGGGCATCCAGCTTTGCCTGGTGCTCCGCCTCCACGCTGTCTGGCAGCGGCACCCCCTTGGGGAAGTAGAACTGCGGTATGGTCTCCGCGGCGTCCGCTGGCTTGGGGGCGGGGCTGGGCGGCCTGGACTGGCTGCTGGGTGGTGCTGACTTTTGGGATGACAAGGCCGCCTTCCTGGGCGACGACACCGCAGGAGCAGTGGTGGGAGAGGAGGGCGGCACGCTGGTGGACGCCACGGCCACCGGGCCCACTTTGGAGGCCTCCTCGATCCCCGCCTTGAGCTGCTTGCCCTTGCTGGCGTTGTCCAGCACGGTGAGGATGACCTTCTCATACTCGGGCATGGACAGCCACTCCAGGAAGAACTGGTCCAGCTTCATCTTCGCGCAGGGGTACTGCCGCAGCGTGAACTCCAGCGACTTGCCCGTCGAGCGGCCAGTCGAGGATGCCGCCGCCTCTCGACCGCCCTCAGCCTCGCCCGTCACCACGGACACGGGCTGCGGCGACGCCATTCCGGCGCCGGGCGTCGAGTCTGTGATCTGTCCCTTTGCCGCACGGCAGCGGCGAGCCGCAGCGAGGGGCCTGGCGCCCGACGCAGGGCCTTCAGGCGCCCGGTCTGTGTCGGTGGCGCGCGGCCCGCGGCTTGCGGGTCAGCCGCCCGCCGGCCGCGGGGTGCCCGCCTGGTCGAAACGGAGCGGGGGTCTGATGATCAGGGATAGGGACCCGGGCACGGAAACAATCCTGTAGAACAAAAAACAAGAGCGCAAGTCAAGAGGGCACGCCAAGGAGGGAATTCGTCACCACGTGCTACCACTCGCACAAGCGCCACGAGAGAACAGGGGGGGGGGGGTTCAGCAGCCTGGCGGGGCCGGAGTTCTTGCGATGGAGCGCCGCTCGCGGGGAGCGGCGATCCACCCGCGCACGCGCGAGACGGGTGGCGTGGCGGGCGTGCGGCCCTCTGGCCGTGCTGTGCGGAGAGACTTGCCTGGGGGCGATGGGCGGCCTCCGCGCGCGCGCCTGTCGCGGTGCTCCGCGCCGTGTGCGGACGTCCCGCGAGGACGACGGGAGCGAGGTGGTCGACCGCCGCGACTTCCGCGCGAGCGCGGGGTGTGGCAGCCCTAACTCAGTACTGACCCGCGACGCAAATTGGAGAGATGGTGTGCCTGTCGTCGCGCCACAACACTTAAGGCGTCGTTGCTGCTGGTTGGTGGGGAGGGACACGGTCGTTCAGGTCACTTCTTGCGCTGGTGGTTATTCACTGAAAAATCCCTGATAATGAACCAAATGGGCATGAATTCGCCAAACGGACAGCGCAAGGCCACGGCATGGCCATTACCGGCACTCTGGGCGCCATCAGGGTTTTACCTCTCGTTGTTCAACTTCCAGTCATTCTCATGTCTCAAGCACCCGAGGTGAGCCAAGGCGCCTTGGAAAGGTGACACGAAGAGGACAC